CATGCTTGTGTACTAAGAAAATCCCAGGACTTTCAAGGGCTACATCATATCCAGGTTACCAGTTATACGGCACTCAAATAGGAAGGACTGGATGACTGGCAATCTGTTCAAAGATTGGTTTACTAACTGTTTCGCTTCTGTCACCTAATACAGCCTATTGATCAAGGAGTGATTGCCAGCCTTAAGGCATATTATCTATGCAGTACTTCCAGATGATTTATACCTGCAATTGATAGTGAGGATCAGCAATCAGTTAAGAGATTTCTGGAGAAAATTTATCATGAATGCTGTAAACAAAATTGCCGACTCCTGGGATGAGATGAAAACTACAACAATGACCGGTGTGTGGAAGAATATCTGGCCAGAATGTGTCCACGATTTCCAAGGTTTTCCCCAGGTTCAGACAATGGATCAGGTGCAACAGGAAATTGTAATTCTGACAAATGGTGCAGGGTTCGAGGAAGTAAGCCAGGCTGGTGTAGTAGTGATATTAGAGTCACATAAGAGAAGAACTCACCAATGATGATCAAATATTAATGGAACAAGAGCGAGCTGCTACTGAATAACAGGAGGGCATCTGTACAGAAGTTGCACCTACATCCAGTGAATTAAAAAATAATAATAATTCCAAAGCTATTAGTCAACTGCAAGATGTGATGCAAACCTTTGAGAGACATGAGCCAGACCATAAACGCAGCTTACAAGAGAATTCGAGAACCCCATGAGTGGATACAACAAGGGCAGATGGAGGGGGGGATCCAGGAATATCAAACGGTGGGGTGATCCAAGCCCCCGATTTTTTTTAATCTGACCGATATCATGGCCATTTTCAGGCCATGTGCACTTGATATTGGGAGATATTCTGAGGTCAATAGTAATTACTTTTTACTATACAAAAATGCCTGCGTACAATACAGTACTGCATTAAAGAAAAAGTATTGGAATTTTCTGACGAAAGGGGAGGGTGGGGGGGTCCCGGATCCGTTCTTGCTTTTTCATCAGAAAATTCCAATACTTTTTCTTTAATGCAGTACTGTATTGTACTCAGGCATTACTAAAATTGGTAATACTTTACAATACTACAGTTGTGCGGATGACATCGTACTGAAGGGACTAATCAGCAATCAAAACAATCACAGGGTCTTTTCATTTTGATTAATTGTAATTTTGTAATAAAAACACATTAATCTGATATATATTTACAATGTTATTTCGAAAATATCAATATTTTTATAGAGAAACCCATAGAAAGTACTGAAAATTATACAACCAAAAATGTTTAGGGCTCCAAATAGAGGCAAGGGGCAAGCTGTTATGGTATTTTCGGTGTTTAGTATGTGACGATGTTGTTTTCAAAGCGAACCTTAACCTTTTAATAGGTTAGGAAAGGTTAAGTAAGATTTTCAATGGTTTGTTTGGTGTTTCTAAAAGAAAATAGATATTCGAAATTAGAATGTAAAACTACGTCGGATTAATGTGTTTATATTAAAACAAAAAAAATTACAGTTCATCAAATCAAAAAGATCCCAATAATAGTACAAAAATGATACGACAATGCACAGACCCTAACAGAACCTGACGGTTACACCCCATTTCGTCGCCAATTCACATCGTCACCGACCCGGTTCGTCACCAAAACCCCAACTTCTCACCAATATCAATTCCGTTTTGTCATCACTAACAGTCGCTCGTACTAGTAACAAATTGTAAGGTATTATTTTACACGAATAGAAATTACACATGTATACAGACGACTCGAGAAGTATTGTTATTATTATTTTACATATTAATTATGCAATAAGAAAATTATTAAAACACTGGGAAATAAACAAAATACAGAACAAATGATGGATATTTGGCATCAGCACATGAACCACCAAACAATGAGATGATTGCAGGCGTATTAACAATGTTTTTATTTTCGTCTTTAATAAATTGTTAGTGTTTTTTTATTACTTTATATCCCAAGCAACAGTTATTTTCGTGTATATATTGATGGGAATGAACGGAGTGACGAAAGGGGTAAAGCAGTGGTGACGAAGCGGATTGGTGACGATAAGGGCAGACCCCAACCTGACCTAACTAACCAAAGAAACCTACCTAACTTCCTAGTTGGGGAGCCGCCCACCTGCCATATTAAACAGAAAACTACTTAATATGATATCTGGTACCAAAAAAAGCATTTTTCTTGAAGTGGCTTGGTGAAATTCTACTTTTTTGTGGACTGAGTACGAAAGCAAACTAAGAGCAGATGATAACGCACACCAACATGACTTTCACCAGATACTAGTCGAGAAGTGATTAGCAGTCCGATTTATTCATGTAGGACCATTATTTGACTTCATTGCGGCTATATTTGGGTAATTAGTCGGACCGGCCATTCGGTTAGGTTGGGTAGGATTACTTTTGAAGATTAAAATGCTATTTTTCCTATTTTTTTTTAGTGTGAATCATTAAAAACATTTAGAAATAGAAAATTTTAAGCTTCGAAGGGAATTGGGAGTTAATCGGAAAATTTGCCGTACTTTTATCCTCTTTGCCACTCATCAGCTCGTTAGCTGCTTGGCCGGTCGGTTACGTCTCTTACGCACTGTTGGAGAGTACGGTAAATAATTGATTTTTTCACGTACAAAGCACCTGGAGACATCCCTGATTTTTCATACCCTGTACACTACAGGTGATTTATGATCGGAGATAGAGAACCAAAAAAAATAATACTTATATTTAAAATAAAAAGTTGTTGTATTGTTTGTATTACTTACTATCATCCAAAGAACATATGTGGAAAAAAATATACGAAATCAACGCGTTCTGGTGATACCTGAGGCAGTATTACAAAATCGGCAAACTACCGCCTCCTCCTCCTGGACCACACAGTACAACAACACATTTTTTTATCACCTTACCTTCACTCAACTGCTAATAACCACAACGTAAGTCCTGGAAGCCCTTACGGCGCCACACACACGAGGTAATCCACAAACAGCGAACGAAAAACATGGAAATAGCGATCAAATACTGTATGACCACACACACACGTTTCCGCCACCACTGCCGTACCTCTAATGATCACTGGCGAGTGGCGAACCCGAGGTGCTTCGATTCCATAATTCATTGGTTCGCTTAGTAGATTCACATGAAAATAACAAACGTATCTATTTACCGACTGGACGACAGAGAGAACACCACACACGAAGGGCCGTCATCTATATCTCATTCATTTTCTTAACTTACTTTTAGCCATCATTAGCTAAAATAAAACTGATAGTTATTAGCGAAAATTAATGGTGACATTTGAGGCTTCGACAACGACCCGCTCTTACGACACTAAACAAGCAGGAAGTTTAACATCTTCAAAGTTCATACGTGAAATATAGCTATATACGATGTCTGCGGTTCTTAAAACATTACAGGTACAGGGACACAAAGATCCTGGGGTCGGATACTCTAAAGTATTTACAATATTGTATCTCAGTTAACTCTGTGAGTCGATCCTCGAGGTTGTAAGTCTAATGACTTTTAAGACACTGATGTTTGGTGAGCCTAAATATTTAGCAAACCTACTAATTCCACTGACTACACATTTTGAAATTATTTTGTGAAGTAGTGATGATCCTTCACGCCTTGAGGAGCCTAGAGCAGTTCGGGAATGTTTTTCTGCTGCCCGATCCTTTTCCTATGTAGTGCCCTGGCACTTGGCATCACAGGGAAAATTTGAAATGGATTAACAAATAGCTCGAAGACAGTTGTAACGCGCGATCGAGGGTTCGAGCCTCAACCCGGACACACGTGAGAACATTGCAGGTTTCGCGGTCTCTGGTTTCCTCCTGTACAAACATTGGATAGACCGGCCACCTGAACGGCTAGTAAGCTGATAATTGGCGAAAATTATAAAACAAAAAGTAGTCACAAATGGAGTTGTACATTATATACATGTAGAATGAAAAAAAAAGGTTCTCACTTATCAGTCAAGTGCCACAAGGATCTATCCTTGGTCCCACCCTCTTTGTGACCTACATAAACGACACTGATGAAAACATATTGAATCACATTGTCAAGTTTACGGACGATACAAAGATAAATGGGAATGTAGCAAGTCAAGACGATGCTGAAAAGACGCAAAAACATCTGCACGAGCTGTTCAAGTTCCTTCAAGACTGGCAAACACCCTTTAACATTACGAAATGTAAGACCCTGTACACAGGACACAACCATCCTTGTCACAACATTTCTGTTAATAACACTTTCCTGGGCACTGTTAATTAGAAAAAAGATCTCGCCGTCAAGACAGACCAATCACTGAAAGCAGCGCAACAAGTGGTAAAGGCAGTCACAAAAGCCAACCTCGATTTATGAATGTTAAGTCTCATACAAATATAAATATAAGAAAAAGTTCCTTCATATTCATAAGCATCTCGTATATCCCCATCTGGATTACTATATATAGGCATAGAGATGACGAAGCCTTACCTCAAGAAAGACTTAGTATCCCAAGAAAAGGTGCAACACAGAGCGACAGAGATTATTCCTCGACTATATCATCTTGAATATCCAAACAGACTAAAGGCCGACGACTAACAAATCTTCAGACAAGACTATAGGGCAGATCTTTCAGAGACATTTAATATCTTGAAAGGGATGGAAAATGTGAACCCAGGCCATGTTTTCTGTTATACTGGCCAAGATGTTATACAGGACGAATATCAGGAAATACTTCTTCACACAGAGGCTGGTAGGGACAAGACTGGCCTCCTTCCCTGGACATGGCCACCTTTAATTGGGTGGCCATTAGGTAAATAAGGCAAATAAGGAAAGGAGAGAAGGAGAAGAAAGAGAGAAAAGTTTACAGTATCTTTCCTCTCTTTCTCACCGAAAACCATTATAATGTACTTTTCCTGGGTGAAAACTACCGAGTCATGGTCTAACGAGAGAGCGAACACAATTGGCTCCTATAACTACCCTGAATTACCTGCTTTTTACCGATAGGATGAAGGGAGAGAGAGTGTGGGAAGGGGAGGGGGGTGGGGGAATATGTGCTCCTTAATCTATTCACATGTGCGTGCTGCCGTCACTTCACTCGCCGGCTAGCAGCACTCCCCCCTCCCTCCCTCAAAACACCATCTTATCATACCATATACAGATCGTGGCTTCGGGGCTGACCATCACCACCACCACCACAACACACCAAACGCCTCCCCAAAAGCCATAATAAAAAATGTCACAGTGCTTATTACCTCACCCTTGGCCCAGAGACCTACCCCCTAAACTCCTTAAATGCGTATGGGTGAAAGGATCGATAATTTAGCTTAAGTATAGAGGGGTAAAAGTGACTGTCCCAGCGTTTGATTCTATTAAATATGGGTCACAAAAACATTGATTTTTTTTTAAGGTATTTGGATTATCTTTTCGTTGTTTATATTAAAGTTGTTAGCGTCTTGCATTTATCTTCCACGTCCTAATATAATTTGTACAGTTCGTCATATATTTGTACATTTCTCCACATATTTGTACAGGTAGTAAGATGTTTCCGCTTGGTGGAATCATATTTAGCAGCGACCTCACTGTATGCTCTTAGTTTGTCATTGGACTAAAGGGGGGTTAAAACTACGGCCGCTCCACCACGGGTCACAGCCTCAAGTTAAAGAAACCACCGGGAGAGAAAACTTTTTAGAGGTATAACTTTGGGGTAAACGTTGTGGACATTTGGGGTAAAAGTTGTGGAAATTTGAGGTAAAAGTTGTGGACATTTGGGGTAAAAGTTGTGGACATTTGGGGTAAAAGTTGTGGATCTTTAGGGTAAAAGTTGTGGACATTTGGGGTAAAAGTTATGGATCATTGGATTAACCTGTCAGGGATGTCGTGAGGACAGACTTGATTAACACTGGCACATGATGAGGTACAATACATTCAAGACCCCAAACACGACCACAACTTACCAACAGCGTGTAACAGAGAGCGGATGAGCGGTATATAAGCTGCCATGATGTGAAGAGGGTAACATAATGTAAATAACTATGTAAATAATAATAATTAGGAAGAGATAAAGATCAGTTTTCCAGCCAACGAAGCATGACAGAGACAACAGGATGTTTTCAGTATAATATGGGAGGGTTGAGGTGAATATCTTGGTATAGAGAGAGAAAGAAAGAGACTCATTTGACCCCCACAGTGTGTTGTTGACTTCTGTGTAGTGTGTTACTGTTACTCCAACACATGTAAGTCTCTCTATGGAACTCTTTATCCCAAGGTCTATATCTATACTTACAAAGAATAGAAACAGGCCTAGCTCACACGGGTTGGATCTATAGACTATAGGATAAATAAACTCCATCACACAATAAATCAATATAATCCAAGAACTTATTAAAAAAAAAGACTATTTCCTTTTACTGTGGACCAACAAATGACGAGTATTTTTTTTTACATTAACCAAGTGCCTTTATAACACCCATGCACAACCACGGCATTATCCCTCTCACACTCACTCTTCATCACAAACCAAGATAAAGTCAACGTTCCACACACCATGTTTACCCACAAGTCAACACTCGACCATGGTAATAACTTCCCTTATTATTACCTCTCAAGTATCTTCAATCTCACACAGATATAAGAATTTTATATCCATCTAGTGTCCCAAGCTGAGTGGCCAAGCTGAGGTGGCAAGAGTTATGACACCACATGACAAGGGTTACCGCCACTGACACCATTTAGACGGGCACAAGTGTGTAATCTGTGAGTTATACACATAATAAATTTGAATGTTTGGTGATGTTATATTAACTTTATCCATTAAAAAAAAATCAGGGTAAGCAAATTTCCTCCCTAAATTTGCCCAGGACAAGTAAAGGTTCCATATAATCTGCACAGCCTCACACACACACGCCACAAACAATGACGTGAACATCTTTGAGCCCACAACCTGACCTACTTCGCCATTAAGGTGTGTTCTGACATCACCAGTTTGAGAAAATAATTTAAGGTTTAAGTGTTGGAGAATAAGAAGTGTTATCCATGCCCTCAGGACCACCCTCAACATGCAAGCGCTGATGGTGTGTAGCTTACTTCTGCCCCTCCTCCAGACTGGTAAGTAATCCTAGTTATTATTGACTTATTTTTTACTTTTATCCTCTTCACCACTAATTGGCTCGTTACCATTTTGTCCATATCCAATCATTAAGGAATCATTTTCTTCGCCTAAAATTATACGGAACCACGACAGTGAGAGATTCTGAGTCATTGAACACTGTGACTCCTGTTGTCTGGGAATGGTTATCAAGACCCTTCGTCCGTTGCTCTTATAGGTTTGACTTAGATGTGTGTAATATTATCATGGAATTAATGTTTTTGTGTAAGTGTGTAATATTATCATGGAATTAATATGTTTTTGTGTAAGTGTGTAATATTATCATGGAATTAATATGTTTTTGAGTATGTGTGTAATATTATCATAGAATTAATATGTTTTTGTGTATGTGTGTAATATTATCATGGAATTAATATGTTTTTGTGTAAGTGTGTAATATTATCATGGAATTAATATGTTTTTGTGTAAGTGTGTAACATTATCATGGAATTAATATGTTTTTGTGTAAGTGTGTAATATTATCATGGAATTAATATGTTTTTGAGTATGTGTGTAATATTATCATAGAATTAATATGTTTTTGTGTAAGTGTGTAATATTATCATGGAATTAATATGTTTTTGTATAAGTGTGTAATATTATCATGGAATTAATATGTTTTTGAGTATGTGTGTAATATTATCATAGAATTAATATGTTTTTGTGTAAGTGTGTAATATTATCATGGAATTAATATGTTTTTGTGTAAGTGTGTAATATTATCATAGTTACTAATATGTGTCGTGTATATACAGGTGTGTGTATCCGATGTTACCACTGTGAGGAGGAAGTGGAGGAGGTGGTGAGCTGTCTGGCCAACCATACTATCGCCATTCTTGGTTCTGTATCACCAAGATCCATATTGATGATCCAGGTGAGTATATTTGTAGTTAATAATGAGTAAGAAAATATAAATCTACATAAATGAATTTAATTTCACTCAGATCCCAGAACTGAAGTGTTTAAGAGGCTCTAACGTCATGTGGGAGGAGAGGTGGTTGAGGTGTTGCCTTTGTCTTCCTATACCTGGTGAACTAGTGTGTGTGTGTGTGTGTGTGTGTGTGTGTAAGGAATGAGAGAAAATGATTGATTGTGGTAATTGCATTTATGCATAGAGAGAGAGAGAGAGAGAGAGAGAGAGAGAGAGAGAGAGAGAGAGAGAGAGAGAGAGAGACTTAGAAATCATCACAATAATAACCATAAAACACTGTAATAAAACATCCTTTATGAGAGAAAAGTTTCCACTAGTCAGGTCAGGATAGGCGCACACTGGAAGGATAGGTTAGATTAGGTTAGGTTAGGTGATGTTAAGTTTAAGGTTAAGTGATGTTAGACAATGTTAGGTTTGGTTAGGTTAGGTTTGGTTAGGTTAGGTTTGGTTAGGTTAGGTTAGGGTACCTAATCTCCAGGTGATATGACAAAATTAATCTAACCCAAATTCAGTCTGCGTAAACTGGAGAATTGGTAACCTTTTGTTAACAATTTACTATAAATATAATGACTCACAAAATAACAGGAATATGACTTATAAATAGTTTCCCTCACGTTGTAGTTTATTTAACGATTTATATTTAAAGTTAACGACTGATTTTATTAGTAAATTATTTCCCGTGTATAAGTAAACTGATTATTATTATGTTTCTCCCTACTCTTACCCCACTCCACCCTACCTCACCTTTTACACAACCCCACCTCATCCTTACTCCACTCCACCCCACCCTACTCCACCTCACCTCACCCCTACTCCACCTCACCTCACCCCTACTCCACCTCACCTCACCCCTACTCCACTCCACCTCACCTCACCCAACCCCACCTCACCCCTACTTCACCCCACCGCACCCTTACTCCACCTCACCCCTACTCCACCTCACTCCTACTCCATCCCACCACCACTCCACCCCACCACCACTCCACCCCACCACCACTCCACACAGACAAGAAGGAATATTACTGCTCCAACGACCATCACCGCTCAGGGTGTTTAAACGACCCTTACGACCACGATGAGAACGAGATCACATGCTACTGTAACACACACTATTGTAACGAGGCCCCCGTTACTGTTACCAAGTGGCTGGTGGTCACGCTGCTGGCTGGACGGTTACTGAGACGCGTTGATCTGTAGCGTCTGTCTCCCGTCTTGGTTCGATTCCAGTTACTGTTTGTGTATGTGAGCTGTTTATGTGTATTGTTTGTGTATTGTTTGTGTATGTGCAATGTCTTAATACGTTATTTGTATATTGTTTGTATATCAACACTGTTTACGTACATGTTTTGTATACTTACACTGTGTATATATATCCTTACATCAGTGTAAACTTGTATGATGATTTTCCTGAATATCTATCCATCTATCTATCTATCTATCTATCTATCTATAGTAACTCTGTCTCCTAAAAGTGCTCATTCAAGGTGTCTAGTTCAGGTAAAGTCTCAGTGAAATATTGATGTTATAGTCGAGGTTAGGTTAGGTTAGGAGGAACAAATCAGTGTGGGAGACGAGACTACAATAAATCGATGACTGGTCGCCGCCTCCCTCCCTGGGTCACCACGGCAGCTGCACCTAATTGTTTGAGTTGCTGATTCATTATGGCTGTTGGCTGTCCTCACTACACCTTTAAAATTCGATCGTGTATATTGACTTTATATTTTTTTTTCAACATTAATTAAACAATGTCGGGTAATTTCAACGTTTTTTTTTTTTTTTCTACGTAAAATATCTGATATTTTTTTAAGTACAGTTGATGTTTGGTATATTTTCACCCTTTATATTTTAGGTATACATTGTAAAGTGTCTATATCTATACTGTCTATGTACTGAGCTGTATTGTCTATACACATGAACCATTTGTAAATTTGTATGGCGATTTTATGGAATATTTATTTATCTAATTCTATGTGCAGAGTTCAAGCGAGAACAAGCAAGAACAATTCTAGTCTTTAATAATACTTTCAAAAACAAAGTATAGATAATTCACAGGTCACTAAACAAATAACTTAGGGTGAATTATAGAATCTAACTATTGTATTGTCTATAATACAGGAGCCTAACGGTAAAAATAAAATAAAAATATACTAAGATAATATAGACAGTCTGCTATATTTTCGATAATTTAGTATATTATAAAATTTCACTCGTATTTCTACAACATTTATGAAGTATGGAGCCCAGGTGGGTTATTTTTGTCGGTACGAGTGTCACGTAGTCTAGTCGTTGTGTATTTCTCCAACCTTGACATTACATCGGTGTATTTCCCAGCCTACTTGAGTATGCTACTGTATTTCCGGCCGTGAGTGACGTGTAAGAGTGTATGCCAGTGGACAGACGTCAACAATGGACGGAACTGACGGGGGGGGGGGGGTAAATCGTGTATATATCACACCGGGCATCTCAAAAGAATACATTAGTCCCCCCTCACCATCACTCCGTATCCGGCCATTCTCTCTAACGCGTCACTCCCTTACCGTTTCGTATTCTTTCTCTCTTCTTCTCTTTCTTTGTCTTTTTCTCTCTTCTTCTCTTTCTTTGTTTTTTCTCTATCTAATAATATATAGTATTTTAGCTCTTCTTTCTCCCCTTGGGTCGGGTACTATCCCAACATAGCTAATGGATACTAATAATGACATGTTACCAGAAAACCCCGACGTAATTTTTCTCCAATTTCACGTAACACAAAATCATATATGGATACATTATTGACGACTTCTGTACACACACACACACGTACACACTATTAACGTCTCCTGTACACACACACACACACACACAGTATATTTCAGTAACTGGACATTATTTTTCAATGATGTGATATAGATTTTTATTCATTCACCTTGAGTTCATGAGGCCAAAGGTCAAGAGGTCAAAGCTTTGTCCATAGAAACACCCGGCATTATACAGCACTTTTACAGTACTCGAGTGCAGTCTATGGATAACAGGGGGCGGATCAGGAATATCAAAGGGGGAAGGGGAGGGACCAAGAAGTTGTGGGTGGGGGAACATGGCGAGCACAGAGAACCCTCCCAGCTGGGGGTTTTAGGGTTAGGTTACGTTAGGTTACGTTAGGTTAGGTTAGACTAGGTTAGGTTAGGTTATAATTTTTTGTTTAATCTGACCAATATCATGGGCATTTTGAGGCCATGTGCACTTGATATTAGGAGATATTCTGAGGTCAATAATAATTAATTTTTACTACACAACAAAGCCTGAGTACAATACTGCATTAAAGAAAAAGTATTGGAATTTCCTGATGAAAATGGGGGACCGACCCCAAACCCCCTGGATAAAACCCTGATAATTTACTCTTTTAAGGACGACATTTTCAAGTTATAACTCTTTCAAGGACAAGAGACTTAATGTATAGTCTTTAAGGTAATAGTAAGAATAGTGAAGGAATGGGCGGTGTGGTGGTTTTGGGTATTATGAGGAACGCTGGATCAACCGGACCAGTCTCTCCCTTTCCTCCCCTCTCCCCTCTTTCTCCACCCTCCCCTTTCCTCCACCTCCTCTCTCTTTCTCCCACCCTCCCCTTTCCTCCACCCTCCCCCTTTCCTCCACCCTCCCTCTCTTTCTCCCACCCTCCCCCTTCCTCCACCCTCCCTCTCTTTCTCCCACCCTCCCTTTCCTCCACCCTCCCTCTTTTCTCCCCACCCTCCCCCTTTCCTCCACCCTCCCTCTCTTTCTCCCACCCCCTTTCCTCCACCCTCCCCCTTTCCTCCACCCTCCCTCTCTTTCTCCCACCCTCCCTTTCCTCCACCCTCCCCTTTTCCTCCACCCTCCCTCTCTTTCCTCCCACCCTCCCCTTTCCTCCACCCTCCCCCTTTTCCTCCACCCTCCCCTTTCCCCTCCACCCTCCCCTTTCCTCCACCCTCCCCTTTCCTCCACCCTCCCTCTCTTTCTCCCACCCCTCCCCTTTCCTCCACCCTCCCTCTCTTTCTCCCCACCCTCCCCCTTTCCTCCCCTTTCCCTCCACCCTCCCCCTTTTCCTCCACCCTCCCTCTCTTTCTCCCCACCCTCCCCTTTCCTCCACCCTCCCCTTTTCCTCCACCCTCCCCCTTTCCTCCACCCTCCCCCTTTCCTCCCCCTCCTTTCCCTCCACCCTCCCTTTCCTCCACCCTCTCCTCCCCTCCTTTCCTCCACCCTCCCTTTCCCCACTCCCCTTTCCTCACCCTCCTTTCTGCACCCTCCCCTTTCCACCACCCTCCCCCCCTTTCCACCACCCTCCCCTTTCCACCACCCTCCCCTTTCCTCCACCCTCCCTCTTTCCTCCACCCTCCCTTTCCTCCACCCTCCCCTTTCCTCACCCTCCCTTTCCTCCCCCTCCCCTTTCCACCACCCTCCCCTTTCCTCCACCCTCCCTTCCTCCCCCCTCCTTTCCTCCCCTCCCTACATCTCTTCCCTCACGCCCCTCTAAAAAATCATGACTCAGGGAAGTTGTTATTTGAGTGGATATTCATTGTGTTTTTCTGCCTTGATTTGCATATTGGCCAGCTGTATGGGGTGTGGGAGGAGGAGAGGTTGAAGAGGAAGAGCAGGAGGAAGAGGAGGAGGAAGAGGAGGAGAAGATGAGGAAGAGAGAGGTGAAGAGGAGGAAGAAGAGGAGAAAAGATAGTGATGATGATTATGTTAACGACTGTGACGATAATCATGACGCATAATAATAACGATGATAATAATAATGACAATAACAATAACGAATATGATGACTGAGATAAGTGAAGGTCTCGTGACGTCATCCTCACCCCCCCCCCCATACACACACAAGGTAAACAACATTTGCGAGCATCTGGCGGGGCG